ATAGTATAGAGAGTATTAACATGATAGATTCAGACTTAGAAGATTCAAGTAGCACAAATAGTGATCTAGAAGAGTATATGTGTGCATTCATAAAAGAACAACATGAAGAAGAATATAAATACATCAATTTAGGTTGGCCAGAAAAATGTCATAAGTAGTAAATTAGTTGCAAATAAATACTATAATACATATTCAATATTATGTGAAAAATGTTACAATAATAGGTTATTAGAAGTTAATTCAGCAGAATCTCAAGAAAATAATGAAATATTAGGAAATATTGTTCATAGTATAGAAAAACCAAAAAATAGTTCTTTAATTACCATAAATTGAGAAATAGAATTAGCAAAATAACATAAGATACAAACAATAGATATGATAGATACAGGGAGTACAAAAAGTGTCATAAGAGAAGAGTTAGTACCAGAAAAATATAGACAAAAATTAGCAAAACCAGTAAGAATAACACAATTTGATGAGAGACCAGTTTACTTAACACATTGTATAAATAATGAGTTTATTAAAGTAGAAAAACAACAATTTAATTTACCGTTAACATTTGTTTCACCAGTAGGATCATATCCATTTATTTTAGGGACCCTAACATAACATTTTTCAAAAGAGGCATTACAATAACTAACTCAAGTAATACTGTAGAAGCATACAAAAACATAAGTATAGAAGAGCCTAGTGGCCAAGATAGTTATCATTTAGAAAACTCAAAAGAAAATAATAAGCATAATAATGTAGAAGAGTTTGATGAAGATATATTTGAACATGAATACCCGATTTTAGAAAAAAGAACCTGTATAGAAATATTACAGTTAGATAGACCAAAAAGTTTAGAAGAATTGTTACAATTAGCAAAACAAACTAAGATTATAGGAGAAGACCCACAGTTACATTAGAGTAAAAATAAAATACTCGTAAAATTAGATATAATTAACCCAGATTTAACCATTAAGACGGCTGATATGCCTTGTAGTCTAATAGATAAACAAGAGTTTGAGCAGCAAATAAAAGAATTGTTAAATTTAAAAGTAATTAGACCCTCTAAGTCTAGACATAGATCAGCAGCATTTATTATAAGAAAACATTCAGAACTAAAGAGAGGTAAGGTTATGATAGTTTATAATTACAAGAGATTAAATGATAATACATACGAAGATAGTTATAAATTACCAAATAAGGATGAGCTTATAAATAAAATTCAAGAGAGTATATATTTTAGCAAATTTGATTGTAAATCAGGCTTTTGGCAAATAAGATTAGCAGAAGAATCAATTGAGTGGACAACTTTTACTTGTCCAGAAGGACATTTTTAGTGGCTTGTTATGCCATTTGGACTTAAAAATGCTCCATCGATCATTCAAAGAAAGATGGACCAAAATTTCAAGAAATATGATAATTTTTGTAGTGTTTATGTAGATGATATTTTAGTACATAGTAAAAATAAAAATGAACATAGGAAGCATTTAAAGATAGTATTACAAGAATTTATCAATAATGGAATTGTGATTAGAAAAAATAAAATAGCATTAGAAAAGCAAGATATAGAATTTTTAGGAATGTATATCAATTCAGGTACAATACAATTATAAGATCATATAGCTAAAAAGGTGTTAGATTTTCCAGACAAATTAGAAGATAAGAAACAGTTACAAGCATTTTTAGGATTGCTAAATTATGCAAGAAATTTTATCCATGATTTAGGAAGAAAAATAGATGTATTACATAGTAAAACTAGCAAAACAGGACAAAAGTATTTTAATAGTGAAAATATTAAATTAGTTCAAAAAATAAAAAAGGAAATTACTAAACTTAAGCTATTAACATTACTATTAGATGATAGTTACAAGATAGTTGAAACAGATGCTTCATCATTAGGATGGGCAAATATACTATACCAGAAAAAGCATAGGGAGTCTCCAAAGTCTGACGAACAAGTTTGTACATATTCATCAAGAAAGTTTAGTGATGTACAATCAAGATTACCATCAACAGATTTAGAAATTTTAGGGATAATTAATTCACTTGAAAATTTTTCTTTATTTTTACATAATGAAGTATTTACGATTATAACAGATTGTCAAAATATAGTTTCTCATTATAACAAGATACATGCTAATAAACAGGAAGCACGAAGATGGGTTAATTTTGTTGATTCAATTACAGGAAATAGTTTTAAACCAACTATTGAACATATAAAAGGTAATGACAATACATTAGCTGATATCTTATCAAGATTAATTTGTTGAACATGTATGGAATATCGTGGACCATCATCAGCAAATAGCACAAGGCTGCAAGGCAGAAGAGTTTCTTTCAATGGCATGATGATGCACCATCAACCTCCACCATTCAGTGGATTTCAAAATAGCATGAGTGGACCAGCATCACCACCAGTACCTACGTTCAACTTTAATGGCAATATTGTTGAAGGAATCAGAAATCCAACTTTGAGATATAGGTCAAGGATACCAAGGCTTTCTGATAGGCAGCAGGTTCTCTTAGATAATTTTTGGAATATCCAAATTAAGCAGCCAAGCATGAGGTTAGGTCATGAAAAATTAATTAGAGCCATGGAACAAGAGTTTGATAGCTTTAATTTTAATTTCCACCAAAACTAGCAACATATTCATTCTCTTGAGCACAACCTTCAAGTTATCTCTAGGGACCATGAGTCATTACTTGGTAAGTTTACCAAAATGAACCAAGAACTCCAATCTCTTAGAATGCAGCAAAAGGAAAGTGACACCTTGAAAAGAGAATTAAAAATAGGTTTAGAAATTGATCAGCATAAGAATAAAAGAAAAGAGGTTATTGAACCCATAGAACAAGAGGCTAATGAGCCCATAGAAGAAATTAAGATTGAGCTCTTAGAAGAAGACGTTGAAATGGAGCAATATCAAAGTAATGAGCAGCATCAGGTTCTGAGTGACAAAGAAAAACAAGAAAAATATGAAAGTTTTCTTAGGAATATATCTTCAGACTTAATATTAGATGATGTTTTATTAGAAGAAATTTCAAAGACAAAACTAAGAATAATGCCAACAGATATGCAAAATGAGGTCCTGAGCAGAGCATCATAGTCCATGAAAGAGTTACTATTACAATTACAATGCGCCTTGTATCAATCCATCTTTGATCCAAAATCAGTGATGGATATTATTACAAAGATGTATTCTCCATGTCTTTGTGATAGTACAGAGAATTGTATTTGTAAACCAGAGGTTAGCGTAGCTGTGACCAGGATTAAAATGAGAGATTTTAAATTATGGCATTTTAGTTATGAGCATCAGAAAAAACATAATGTGGTAAAAATTACCCCTGCCTTACTATTAGAGTTTGGTTATCTAGATAAAATATTTATTAACCGTATTTCTCAACTAGAATCATTTCCTGAAAAACTTATAAAAGTAGCAGAAGATTATCTAGAAAGGTGGAAAGAAATTTGCATAAGTTTTATTAGTAGTCCTCCAGATTGGTATGTACATATGCATAAGGAGAAAACCAGACATATAGCCATGATCAATGAAGAGTCCTTTAGACTAACCCCTATCTCCTCACATAGGTGGACTCCTTCATACAAAGATATTTTAAAATTTAGAGGGATCCAAATGTTTGCTTTAGATGAGTTTGAAGATTTTAGGTATGACATGGTACTAGTAGCAGAAGAAGAAGAGATGTATATTTACAGCAAGACAAGGATCATTCATCAGCCTTATTGGAAGCCCCAAAATTTCAAAGAAGAAACAATAGAAATATACTACAAGGTGAAAGAAGATAGAGAAAGAGATGCGGAGTTAGTAGAAGACGATGAACAGTACTGGAATAATTTGACAGAAGAAGAGCTGCATAACATCGACAACATGATGGAAGCCTGAAGAGCTAGCTGTAAATTAGCATAAGTTTAATAGCATAATGTAAAATAATGTATTCCTAGATAGAAATGTCAACATCATTGTTGACCCCGTTGTAATGGCATAAGAGTAAATAAAGAAAAGAACATGATCCATTATGGACTTTTCATACATAAAATGTCATTTTGATTAAGAATGAATAGTTCCAGACCCTTTTCGTTAGAACTTCCATAAAAAATAAACATGTTAATTGATATTTAATTAAATATATAATCTATAATCATATTATTTTATTTACAAATTTAATTTAAAAAATTTAATCTCCTTAATATTACTCTACATCCTTGTATTTTGTCAGCCTTTATTCGGACTGTGTGCATAGCTTTTGAAGTCAACATTATCATCTATGTGTTGCAAGTACGATGATCTGCATGTGTACGGTAGGTATTTTTAGTTTTATTTTTTATTTGTGGTGAACCATGTGTACGGTACATAAAAGTCCAAACAATCATCATGCCACGGCACCTTGACGAAGACTTTTTGATAAACGATAAAGGATTTTTGTCCCACCTCCTCAACTAACCATTTACTTATTTCACAAACAATAGTTAAACAAAATAATTGGACTTTAAGAGCTTCTTCTTTATAATCAAATCCAACAGGATTATGGTTTACATATGTTTATAACAACTGTCAATTTATGAGTTAATGTTATTGATAACAAATGTCAACTTATGAGTTAATGTTAGCATCAATTATACAAAACAATGTCAACTTTGATTGTGTGTATTTTTTCTTGTTTGTCTGTAACTTCATTTTATTATTTTTATAATTAGTTATGGTTAACAATTAGATGTTAACCGTTCAATTCACTGTTTTTCGGAATCAATTGAATTGATTATTTAGTAGAACTTATCTAGTTGCATGTTAGGTTAGTAGATAACAGTTTGTAACTTAATACGATTTTTTTTTTATTACAAGCAATAACTACCTTAAATAAGAGAGAATTTGATCGTAGTAAGGCCTTAATTTCCGAAACAATCAACCACTAACTTCTGATACGTACGCCTTCTCCTTGGTTTTTTTTTATTGATTAATTGTGTACAATTTAAATTTCTGTTTCTATCAACTACGTACGGTACGGAACTCATCCATGTTTATATATAAACCTACTCTCACTATATATTCTGACACTTGCGAGCTAGGTAGTGCCAACAACTGCTAATAATCTCCGATCTGCTTGCGATAAACATGGAGCCCCATCGAAGCAAACCCATCTCAAATTCTTGTTTTCTTTTCTTTTTACTTCTATTCGCGTATTCCAGATCACTCACAGCTCAAGAAGTCGGTAAGTAAGCTCCCACAACATGTTTTTATTTATTTTTCCTTTGTTTTTAAAAAAAAAAAATCAATCATATGCATTTTCTGCATATGTATTGCAGAGGATGAAAGAGAGTTTGATTATCTTCGGGAGGGTGGAAAGGGGCCAAAGCATTGGGGAGAGATTAAGGAAGAATGGGCGGCGTGTAACAACGGGAGCATGCAATCTCCAATAGATTTATCAAATCACAGGGTTACATTATTCCCAAACTTAGGGAAGCTCAAGACCAACTACAGACCTCGTAATGCAACTATCAAGAACAGAGGCCATGATATTTCGGTAATGTTATTTTATTTAGAGTAAACTGTCAGTTTACCCCTTGAACTTTCATCTCACTTTTGATTTCCCCCCTGAACTTTTCTATTGGAAAATTAAGGACTCAAACTAATTTTTTTAGCCAATTTGCCCCCTACCGTTAATTTTTCATATATTCCATCCATATTTCCATTAAGTGAGACCATGTGCACAACATGTGAGGGTAGTTAAGTTATTTCACTCTTAAAATTGATTAAAAAACTGAAAATAAAAAAAAAAAGCAAAACTTTCCCTCTATTTTTTCCCGCTAATTCCTATCCTCGATTTTATTTTTCCCTCCCATTCCTATGCATGAGAAATGACATATGGTGTTATTGTCTACCATTTTTATTTTCTCTAACAAATTAATAATTTGACAAATGCTAATGGTGCTATTGTCTCCAAAGCAGTGCATTAATATAAGAAACCTTAATCTTTTTTATGGACATGTTTCTTATATTAATGTACTGCTTTAGAGACAATAACACCATGAGCATTTGTCAAATTATTAATTTGTTAGAGAAAATAAAAATGGTAGTACATGCTTCAAGAAAACGATTAACTTAGCTACTTATGAAGACAATAACACCATATGTTATTTCTCATGCATAGGAATGAGAGGGAAAAATAAAATTGAGGATAGGAATTAGCGGGAAAAAATAGAGGGAAAATTTTTATTATTATTTATTTTCAGTTTTTAATCATTTTTAAGAGTGAAATGACTTAACAATCCTCACATGTTATGCACATGGTCTCATTTAACGGAAATATGGATGGAATATATGAAAAACTAACGGTAAGGGGCAAATTGGCTAAAAAAATTAGTTTGAGTCCTTAATTTTCCAATAGAAAAGTTCAGGGGGGAAATCGAAAGTGAGGTGAAAGTTCAGGGGGTAAACCGACAGTTTACCCTTTTATTTATTTAGTTTTGATACAGAACAATATTTAACAATAAAATATGAGATTTGAGATAGATTATTCAATGGGCTACCTATAATAATTTGGTATCAAAATCATCATCCACATGAATAAAAATATAGGTTTCTTCTTACAAGTAGAGGAAAAATATCACTAAAACTTTAGTACTAGTCATTGAGTAAAACAAACATTTTTGTTGTCAACAAGTGTATCATTTTTATATGTCTAAATAACATTATTATTCTGATATTGTGTATGTTGCTAATAAGCTCCATCAACTTCAGTTCATTGTTCATAGTTTTATATTCATCTTACGTACGTATAGGGATAACGGTTTAGTTTGGGAATCCAAATGTCATAGCCATCATCATAACCACGAAAATTAAGGCAAATTGGTCCCATAAAAAAATGAAAGCGATGACAAAAGCAAATACAACAACCACTACAGGAGAAAAACAAAACAAATTATCAAATAATTTCAATACTTTAATGAATATACATATACATATACATATATATATTATTTGGGGCAGATTCGAGGCTGGATACAGATTGGCAACCCTAAAACCATATTTGAAACCTCAACTGAATAATATTCACATTTTCCCCTGTATCTGAAAAATACATGAATTTTCATCCCTAAATTCTCCCCATTCGAATGGTTATCAGGTTTAACAGAATGAATTGCCATCTCTAATTATGTGCATACATACATATATAAGTAGGTGGAGGGAGGGTGGTGGAGAAATAAAGGACAATGAAAAGAACAAAACTTATAAATTAAAATAGCTTTTCATTTTCTCTGTCTCTCTAGAAAATGAAACGTTGAAACTAGAAGAATTACAAAGAAAAGATTATCAACTTAATTATTATCTGTGTATTTGCAGGTTGAATGGGTGGGCGACGCTGGAACAATTAAGATAAATGGTACTGAGTATCCGCTAAAACAATGTCACTGGCATGCCCCAGCGGAGCATTCCATCAACGGCAGAATATATGACATGGAGCTCCACTTGGTTCATCTAAGCCCCGATCCCAACGTAGCAAACAAGATCGCTGTCACTGCAGTTCTCTACAAGTTTGGTCGTGCAGATTCTTTCCTTTCTACGGTACGTCCTCAACTAAACTCAAGTGTCCTAATTTGCTCACCATGTTAAAGAGGTGAGTATCAATGTGTTCTTTGGCTTAATCATGGTTAACAGTTAGATCTTTGGCTTCACCATGGTTAATAATATATATATATATATATGTATGTATGTATGTATGTATGTATGTATGTATGTATGTATGTATGGGTTTAGGATCCGAGGATATAAGCCGAGGATATAAGCTTTTGACACACCTTTTGATGCATGTTTTTGTGAGGTCCATTTTACAATTAATTTCAACGATTCAATCGTCTATCTTAATGTCTTACCTCAAAGATCATGTCTTCCAAAAATCACCCAAATCTGAAACCATATGATTGTTGAATACGGTTTAGGATTTCTTTTAAAACCGTATCTTTTTTTTTTCACTACAAATGAATGTTTTAATGATTTCGGGGTTGTCTAATTTTTTACAAAAATTATCTATGAATGATGTTCTAAAAGATAAATGGTTTGAATCGTTAAAATACATTATGGAGTGGGTCTCACAAAAATGTGTGTAAAAAATTATGTAAAAAAAGTAGTGTCACAAATCCGTCCACTTAATATATATATATGGGTTTAGGATCCAGGTACATACGCTTTAAACACACAATCATTGTTGGAAATTATACATGCATTTCGACAACCATGTTTTGTGCAACCCACTCCGTAATGTATTTCAACGATCCAACCATCTATCTTTTATGTCTTACCTCAAAGATCATATCTACCAAAAATCACCAAAATCCTAAACCATATAACAGATCAATTAAATTTAGTGTTTCTTTGTAGCACCGTATTCATCTATTTTCTTCAGTACAAATGAATTTGTTAATGGTTTTGGATTTGTCTAATTTTTTGTAAAGATGATCTAGGACACACGTTTTTGTGGCTCCCATTATGTAATTTTTTTTCAAGAATCCAAACCGTCTATGTTTCAATTCATCTTTCATAGATCACCGTTATAGAAAATTAGACAAATCCCAAACCGTTAAGACATTCATTTGTAGTAAAAAAAAAATGAACAGATTCAGTTCTACAAAGAAACACTAAATTCAACGTTAAGACATTCATTTGTAGTAAAAAAAAAATGTTGATCAAAATTGAGGATATTTTTGCCATTTTATTTTTATTTATGAAGTTTTTCATGGAAAGATCAAAATGATTGAATGTAAACAAACTTAGAGACCAATGCAATCGATTTCAAATCTCAGGGATCAAAGTAAGGCGTTATACAAATATTAGAGACCATTTTGACTAAAAAACCTTATGAAAATACCATATGACCCTAACATGTTGCAAGTTGTGAATTAATTACAGTTGATGAAGGACGTAGAATCGATGATTGATCAAAAGGAAGAGAGAAGCATGGGCATTATTGATCCTAGAGAAATCAAAATTCGTGGGGAATCCTATTACAGATACATGGGTTCACTCACTGTTCCTCCTTGCACTGAAGGCGTTATTTGGACCATCAATAAAAAGGTAATTTAGGAGCAGTTTGATAACAATTTCATTTTCAATTTTCAAACAAAAAATTGAAAACAAAATAGTTATCAAAATGCTCCTTAATAATCAATAAATACTGCTAATACCTTTATTTTTTCACTAAAATCAAAGTATGTAACCCGTTGCCATATTTGATTAATTTCTTCACAGATACATACAGTCTCAAGGGATCAAGTAAATCTATTTCGATTGGCTGTGCATGACGTAAGTAGTTGTTCAAACCCACCCCCAAACCAGGAAAAAAAAAAAAAAAAAAAAAAAAAAAAAACATTGAAAAATGGGAAATAATCAAAATCTTGTTTCATGTTTTTAAATCGATTGATGCAGTATGCGGAGGCGAATGCAAGGCCAGTGCAACCACACAACCTTCGAGATATCAAGGTCTATCACAAAAGCGCAAGGAGCACAAATAAGTATTGATCATATCTGGGGATGATAATTTTCCCTGCGAATTTGGGTATTCGCGGGAATTTGACCTTAATAGGTTGGTAAAATGGTGACGGCGTCTTCAATTGGAATATGTTATATTTTCTATATTTTGTGGGCATAAAATATTAGTGAACACTTTTTATGTTTTTTATTTTTTTTTTATTTTTTTCTCAAAGAGTTGAATTTTATTAGATACGAATTGAAATGTTTACATCATTTGTCAAAGTATTGAATAACCACTTCGATTCAATAAAGTCTCACATATGACATCCCCCGACACGTATAACATGAGTTGCCACCAAGTGTGCAGCACCATTACAAGAGCGGGGGTGAAAAGAAACTCAACTGAATTTAATTGTTGCTTGAGATGGGAAATATCCCATAGAACACCTTCCATAGCAGCCTCCGATTAAATAACACATGTGAGCATGTCCACCAAGACCTTAGAATCGGTTTCAATTTGAACACACCCAAAGACCCTCTCCACACATACCACCAAAGCTGCTCGCACCGCCTCCGCTTCCGCCATCAGAGTCGGAGTCACAGCAAACATTCCCCATTCCTCCTGCTCCCTTAAAGATCCCTGCAAAATCTTGAGCTACCCAGCCAAATCCACCCCTTCGCGTCTCCTTATGCCAAGCTCCATCGCAATTGAGCTTAATTGTTCTAAAAGGAGGCTTTACTCACCTCACAGGAACTTCCCCTCCTTCCCCTAGTCGGCTACTGCGTGCAGGCCGCACCTGAGACTGTTCACACTGTTCAATCTCCCCCCAATGTTTCTGCAATAATTCCAAAGCCACATTTGGCTCGACCAAGGTCTGCTCAAAGACCATACTATTTCGGCATTTCCAAATCCTCCATCAACCGCAAACTACCCACCTCATAAGCCTATCCCCTCCTCCGCAACACCATATTTTTTCAACAACCAATTCCAACATGCCAAAAAATCTTCCCCCTCCACCGATACCACATCCAGTTGCAAAAGAGATCCAAACCAAAACACACGAGCAAATGAACATTTAAAAAATAAATGTACTTGTGTCTCCATATCATCCCCACAATGTGGGCCAACGATCTCCAACCGGATACCCCGTCGTTGTAAATTAGATCTTACAGCAAGAATATTTTTACAGCCCTTCCAACTAAAATGACTAAGCTTAGGAGGAACCTTCAGCTGCCATATAGCCCCCCAGATCGGATCTTTAACATGATCCTCACTTGACTGTCCCACACCCTTCCTTCCAAGCTCTCCATTTCTATTCATGTCCTGAGCAACCTTATATCCAGATTTAACGGAATACATCCCATTCCGTGTATAATGCCAAATAATCTGATCGGGACATCCAAACTTGCTAATTGGCATACTCAAAATAATACGCGCTTCCTCTTCATTGAAACATTGTTCAATCATGTTCTTGACCCACAACCCACCAACACCCACCAAGTCCCCCACCACCAACGGCATGTCTCCAGACCGTTATGGTTATAGTCATACATGTTCGGATTTACAATAAAAATAGTCATATATGTAAGGTTATTATCTTACGGTCATATATACAAAGGTATCATATTTTTGTGTTAGGTAGGGCTGTCCGAAAAAGAGTAGAGATGTGGAAACACTTACATCTGTTCTTATCTGTTGGGAAATTATAAAATGAAATTGGTAAAGGGTCAAACACTGAATTGATGGTCAAATTAAAAGGGAAGCTTAGTATATGAACTTTTTATGATTATTTCAATGACTAAACGGTACAAATTTTATAAAAGGAACAATTTCTTAATCTTCATTTAAATAATTTGAATTGATCAATTTCTTAATCTTAATTTAAATGTATCATTTGAATCGGAGATCATTTAGTTATTGAAATATATAGAACAAACCAAGGTATAAAATATCAATGATATCGGAAATATCGGTTGTTCAAAAATAAGGAAATTTCGATGGAAATATCAGAATATTATCGATATCGATAAAAATTGAATAAAAACCACGAAAATTGTAAGAAAAACTTGGAAATTTTTATTGAAACTTTGTAAGATGTTTATTTAGTCAATTATCTATTAGTTTATCACAAAAAATTAGAAGGAAATGCATTGCATGATAGATATAACAAATTTAAGTTGATTATATAACAAGCTGGCAAACATTGTGAGTGTATAAAATATGTAGTAATTAATGAAAGAAGTTTAAACACACCATAATCATTTATATATAATGAATTAGTACAATATTTTACACTTTATACATTGCATGGTAAGATACATGAGTGACTTAGCAAGGTCTAAAATATCGATGATATCGGAAATATCGGTAGTCCAAAAAAATATCGGTAGTAAAAAAACACGGAAATTTCGATGGAAATATCGGGATATTATAGATATTTTAGACTACGGAACAAACTAACGGTATAGATACCAAATAACATATTTATGATAACCGTTTATTTATTTGATACGTTTAGATGATTAAACGATTTTCGATTCACATGATTTTTTTAAAGTGATCTTCAAATGATGATTACAAAACTGAACGATTCCAATTATTGAGTTTATATGCTCAAGATACGTTATTTGCAAATGAAGGATATGTGCATCCTCTCACAGGATGTAACAACTCGTCCCTAATTTTATGATTTTATTAATTTTAAAAGAGTGAATTGATGAAAATGCCCGTAGAAGCAAGAATGTTGATTTTTGTTGACCATTGTATAGTGAGACGTATGACCCATTCTTGTAGCTTATCCTTGTAGTACTCGACGATACGAAAGAACCGAAATCAGAGTTACGATTGAGATTTTACGGAACTACGAAGCAAAAGTCAATATAGAAAATTCACTATACTAGATATTCTCTTATTCTCTTATTGTTTTTGTTTTCTAATTCTTGTTTTGTAGGACCCACTCTAAAAAACTCTCCTCTCATCTCTCGCCATGTGTCAGTTTTTCCCCCAATGGGGACTCTCTCGGACTTTCCCCGTTTTTCACTCGATCTTCCTTCTCTATCAGAGCAACTCCACCATTGGAGTTTGCTCGAGGAACATGCAAGGAAAAAGGGCCCTAGAGGCCGGGCTGTGGACTCCAGCGTGGGGGATCCTGATGGACTGTGGAGGCTCGAGTAGCGGGCTTGTGAGGAATTGCTAGCCCGAGAGCCCAAGTGGATCTGACGCAGGGCTGACGTCGCCCTTACTTCGGTCATAATATAAAATTAATAAAAATATAAAATATTAATAAAAATAAAGTAAAAATAAAAATTTAAAAAAATTGTAAAACCCAGCTTCGAACTCAACAGCTCTCACCGGAGGTCGTCGTCGAGATGATGAACACCCACAGACAAATGGCAATGATGGGTGGCTCTCACGGTGAAATTCAGAAGCTCGAAGGTTCTCTGAGAGAAAAGGAAGACGGGTTTGCTTCCAAATTGGATGAGAAGTTGAAGACGAAGGAGCAATTGAAGACGAGGTTCGAGTTTGTCGGGGGACGATTGAAAGGTTGGAGCTTGAGAGAAAAGAGAGAGATGGGTTTTTGTTAAAGTGCCTGGATTCACTCCAATAGACCAAGGAGGGCATAATCGGAATAATCGACGGTGTCGGCGACAAAAAGGCTGAGAATGAAGCTGAAGAAGCTGAGGGGGTTTGGGAGGAGATGGGTTGAAAACTGGGTGTGGGGGGAGGATGTGTTGCTAAGCTTGAAGAAAAAATGGTGCGTTGGCACCATGTGAAAAGAAGAAAAAAAAAATTAAAAAAAAGGTTTTGGAATGGTGTGATGCACCATATGAAAAGAAATAATAAAAATAATTTTTTAATAGAAAATGGTACAACGAGACCGATTAAAAATCCTATCCGAAATTACAAATAAAATTATTTTGTATTCTTTAGAAAAAAACTAATATTTTATTGTCTATTGCCAGGGCTATTGAAGTGCAACGGTGGAGATGCAAAAGTGTATTGCTTGAGGGATTACTGTTCATTAGGGCAGTTACTGTTCACTAGGTGGATAACATAGTGTATTGCCTGGGGGAAGGGCTCCAACGGTGGAGTTGCTCTCACCTCACTTCATCTCTCACCCTCAGACTCGTTCTCTTTCTACTCTCTCATCCCTGATCTTCTTTGCATCCACCGAAGCCAGGAAAGCCACCATACATCTCCCCTACTCCAGCGAGCTCCACATGAGCCACTGAACCATACCAGACCACCATCATCATTTTTTTTCTCGTCTCGAACCCAGGCTAATGACATGGGATTCTAGCAGTGGCAGAGCCCACTGTCCATTTCTTTTCACCGACGAACTCTGGCGATCTGTTGACTTTTTCCTATGAGGTAGGGATTAAACACCCTCAAATCACGTCATTATCGACGTTTTGGGTTGTTTTCTGGATTATTTGTGCAAATTGGTGATGTTTTGATGCAGAAAATACCTCAGGGACTTTCTCAATTTTCTAGTAAGAATCGGCAGCTTCGAGCCATTTTCCGGCCAACTCCGGCCACGACTTAGTCCCATGTAGGAATATTTTAAATCTTTGTCTTCCTAGCTTTAATTTGGCTTTTAAATGGCTAGTTTTGGTTAAGATTAGAATCTAAACAGAGCCAAGGAAGTTTTTCGGCCAAAATTTCCAGTTTCTGGCTTCTTCTTTGTTGGGTCCAGCGACCTACAAGTCCAAACAGGTAAACTTGACACGGTACAGAAACAGAAAAAAAAAAAATAAAGGGCCTAAGCCCAAACCTTTGGCCTAACCCAATCTAGACCTTTGAGCCGTTGTTCCAACCCGGCCCAGTTTCGAAATGGGATCATAATATTTTGGGAATATTCCTATAATATTCTTTGAATTTTCTCAAAAATCCTCCTATGCTAAATACGACGCCCCGAGTCTGTTTTTGGCATCCATTTAGTGAAATTCTAAAGTTTTAACGTGGTTGACCACCTTGGCAGCTCGATTGACTTTTTAGGGTTAGCCGTTGACTTTTTGTAAATTTTGCCGTTCTTAGCGTATTTCAACTCTTTGAATTCAAATCTGCACTCCGTTTTCCCAAATTTAATCATTTTAGTGGAGTTTTACTAATGGTCTAAATATTATGCTTAGGTGCGGTTACTATCAGAGACTCCGACTTTCCTAGTTCGAACGACTACAACTTCGCAAGTATTTGTGAGTGAATCTTTTCTTTTATATAGTATATATATTATTTAAGTTCCAT